GAGAGAGAGAGAGAAGGGGGTAGGTGACGGGTGGGCTGGGAAAGTGAAATGTTTTAATTGGGGATGGATATTAATTTGGTGTATGAGTAAATGTCTATATTACCTTTAATTACCCTTAATGAAGTATAAATTTGACTTTTTTATTACCCATAAGATCATTCAATTTAATAGCTATGATTTATTCTCACTTCTTTCACTAAGTACCATTCTCATGTGAGCGCAACCCTATATATATATATATATATATATATATCTCACACACACACACATAAATATATATGTATATATAGGCGTAAATTTGCATTTTAAAATGGATAAAAAAAATTAATTAGTTGCACATAAAAGACATGACTTCTTAATTTTGGTAGTATAAATACTCAACATTCTTTACACTCATGAAACTCATTGATGATTGACTTGATATTAACACAAATACTTTAATTGGTAGGTTGCCAAATTGTTAGACAGATATATTGTTTTACGAAAAATGCATACTTATACTATGAAATGTCATACTTGTATTGTATTTTACTGTAAACTATGACATTTAACACTACAAAAAATTGTTATATCCCAACAAATCCTATTGTAATATATTCCAACGGATTTTCCAAAGGTATAGCTTCCGGTGGAATGGTTCCAACGCAAATTCCAACGGAAATATTCCATTGGAGTGTGTTTTTCATTGAAAATTTAGATGGAATTTGGTGATTCCAATGACTATATTTCCAACAGCTTTTTACCGTAGGAATTTCCGTTGGAATATGCAATTTTCGTTGGATTTTTTATTTCCACCCCCGTTGGAAAATCCACCGTTGGAATCGTCAAAATCCAACGGAAATTCCAATGGAAAACTCATTCCAATAGAATATTTCTGTTGGAATTTCCGTTGGAATCCATTGAAAAATTCCAACGGAAATAATAGTATTGAAATATCCGTTGGAATCATTCTATTATAATAAATTTCTGTTGGAATTTCATCATTTTCTAGTGTAAGTATGAAAATATAAATATATTTGTTGGAAGAGTGTGGTTATCTAACTATTAAGTAGCGAAGAGAATGCCTACTGCAGCATTAATAGTTCTAGAAATTCTCTTTCAAACCATTGAAATGATTATCTTTCTTGTTCTTCTATTCTATTTTTTTTTTTTACATACCTTATACATTTAATTTATTCTATGTATGATCAATCAAAAATATTATAAATAATGTTGAAAGAGTACTTACAAAAATATGATGTAGCCAAAACTAATTAAAAAATAGAGCGATACAATAATTTCTAAAAATCATGGGAATGTGTATAAACCAAATCCCCTATATATTAATTCAGAATGTGCTGAGCTTATGTGGCAGACTGTCATGCTTTGGATCCTATTTGGCAAAATTTCATGCTTCGTTATTAAGATAGCAACAAGTCCGGGTTTAACATCTTCAAAACTATAGAAACATGCAACCATGCATCTTATATGTGAGATGTTTCAATCCAATTTTGATGTGGCCTCTGCTGCATTTTTTTCTCACTGTTAGTAAATCAATATTACTGAAAATGCTTCATGCATGTTACTGCACACACATCAGAATTCAGATAGCAATATTATTTCAAAGACATGTCATTGGCATTAACATTAAAGACCAGAAGGCCTCAAAGTTTCACATTTCTGCTAGTTTCTGTATGCTGAAAGGAAAGTTGTACGTTGTGCTGTTAAAAATCCAATGCGCGAGTAACCGGTTAGCAGCTTGAGTAGGATGAGCATTATCCCAGAACAAATATTGCTCCCTATTAAAACACGGTTCTGTGTACGGCCGACACAACGCTGCCCTTTTATTTATCCCGACATCACAACATGGCTTGTCCTTCACCGTAAATCCTGTTACAAACACGTTAATCTTTGCCAAAAAGGGTGTAAAATATTTGAATTAATTAATTTGCTTGATGTTATTTTGAGCTTAATCGAAAAAGTTCCATTTGTTTGTGAACCAAATCAAGCTCGAATCATCTTTTTAATCAAGTCGAACATTGGTAGGACTTCACCGAGTTGGTTTACGTCAAGATTTTCAAATAGTTTGTACTAATTTCTAGTTTCTCACCATAATCATCGGCATTGTCACGCAAGGTCATGAATATTTTGAAACTGCCACCAAGAGAGAAGACCGAGCCGGGGTTTTCTGAGTTGAGCCGATTTACGAGGGGCTTGAGACGTGAATTGAACATTTGGGCCAAATTATTCGAACTCGGCTCGCACTCTCCTGGAGGGACTTTGCCCTGGCCTAAAAAAAAGGGTATGCAACCAATAGGGGCAACCTCTGCTATGAAGAACTTTCTAACTCCTAACTTTTGCAATTCCTACACAAGGAAACATGTGCAAAATGCTAAGCTAAGATGATTGAAACGCACCCTTCGACTTTGGTTTATTGTAGGAAATTAAGTAGAACTTAAATTTTTTCAGAATAATCGTAATCTTTACCAATATATGCCCTTCGTATTGCTTTACGAGGAGATCAGCAAATTCTTGAGGGCTATTGCTCTTGCTACTTTGGTGTTCAAAAGGGAATAAATAATTGTTAAGGTAATCATTTGAGCCCATATCAAGAAAAACGATGGCCTTCGCCAAATAATCGCTCAGATCCTCTGTTTGCATTTGATCTTTGAGTTGATTCAACGTACTTTCGAAGTTACTTATCTGTTCACGAAGGGGGACCAATCGGCCCTACACAATATTCGTAGAATTTTAGTTCTCGTTTAATGATTTAATATCACCATTTTTTTGCAAAAAATGTCAATATTTGGATATGATTAAGTTAGAACATAGATTCGTGAAATGGACATTACCAACTGATCTCCCGTGTCTTCAAGGATTCCAGATCCAGCCGACGCATAATTTACTCCATACATGATGTTTTCGCCTTTGGCATTAGCATCTGCATATGATGGAATAAGTGGAAGTCCCAAAAGTTCACCTGCATGAATATAAAAATACAGTGAAACTACAGTGATTTCGAAATGTTACTAAACAATGCGCGTTTAACTGTGATTAGGCGTAACTATATTGTGTTTCTATAATATAAGCTGGAAAAAATCATAATAATACGATAAATACCAATGTAGTCGACAAGTGTCTTCCCGTTGCAGAATCTCCCGGTTGGGCCCTTATCGAAATCAATGCCGTAAGGCCAAAATTTGGCTTTCGCTACGGCAACAACAAAATAAATGTTGTTGCCATTGTCGATCAATGAATCGCCAAATACATACATTGCTGTGACTTTTGGCTTTGCATCATCAGCCAATGAAGGAGCTGTGGAAAGGGCTAACACACTGGTAATTAACATCAGTATGGAAAAACTAGCTTCCATTTTCTATGTTTCCTTTTAGCAGCTAGCAAGGTCTATTTGTTTCTGCTCAATTTTTTCAGTGATTGTTTGTTTATATAGACTTCCCAAGGATATCTTGGAAACAAAATCTTGGAAACAACATTTACGATGCGTTCGCCGTGAAGCTCAAAAAACATAGCGTTTGATAAAAGAAATAATAATTTCAAGTCCACCGAAATAATTTAATATTTAAAGTCCTCGAATCAACGTCGTGGAAGTCAAACTATATCTTCAAGAAAGATCAAATAAACAAGTCCTCCTCAAAATCAAGTCCAAACAATGAATCTCGGAATACATAAATTCTATAGAGTCATCCATAATTTTTATGTACTGACACGTATTCAATGTGCATTTATTGCAGGACGCGTGTCAATACATCATTTGTGAATAAATATGGATGACTCCATAAGTCGAGCCACCCAATGACTCCATAGCAAAATCAGAACGGAATAAGCCGATTCGAACTCAAGTTAATGTTAGTCGAATTCATGCTCAAGTTGGAGGAGATTCAATCAACAAATCCGCATTCGAAAATCCAAATCAAAATCAAAGTAATAAGAATCGGAGAAGATAAATAGATATCGTGCCCACAGAATCGTTAATAAAAAAAATCAACTTGAGCAATGTAAAATTTATTGTACCATACTGGTTACTACATAAAAGCTTGTAGAAATCTTAATAGCTTCTACCTCAGGTACAAGTCTTTTATGCAGCTTTAAATAATTTAATGGTCTAAATCTTAGTGCACAAAGAAAAGGGAAAGACACTCCTTACTCTATTCGGATTTTACTACATAGAAATTAAAGAGTGTGATGTTTAATGCAATCTTAAATGGATGTCTATAACAGCCGGGCTACATTTGTACAAACTAGTGGCAATATAATTCAGAAATTTATAATTATATATTATTAAATAGAATGAAATTTAATTCAGAAAGGAAAAATAAAACAATATAGTTATATATTATTAAAGAGAATGAAATTTATGTATAAACATTTTAAAATTTTCCACCATATAAATTACTTTATTTATAATTTTTTTGTTTTCTTCTAGAAATTTTACTTTATTGGAAATAACTTAGTCTTATTTAACTTATATATATTTGATAAATAAATACCTATAATTACTTTTATATTACCATAAACAATTATAAATTGAATTATCATAAATTAGCTATAAAATATGAAACGATTACTATATTTAAAATGGAAGCCAAGTTTGAAAATAGTTAAATTTATTGTTTGGTCGACTTTCGTGGTTTAAATGAGAATCAAGTCTTAGCGTGAGAACCGGTATTTTAATTGTACGTAGTGTTATGATATGTTGTGTTTTAGTGCTATTTTTAACCAATGTGTATTTTATTAAAAAATAGCAACAAAATTTATATTAACATTTGTGAAATGATAGCACAATGGAATATTAAAAATCGCAGTACACACAATTAAAAACAACATCAAATATTGTTCTCACTTCTAGCACCAGGACTAATTTATATTTGAACCAACCCCTATATATATACAATATAAAAGAATATTAAAATAATATAGTATTATTGTAAATAGAGTAGCAATTTAGCTTTTCATGAAGTTTCTATACAAACTCTATGGAATGCCATAAATTTATATTTGCAAATCTATGTCTATATATTATTAAAAAAAGCTCTATGAATAAAGTAAGAATTTTTTCCGCTTTTATATTACAAAATAAATAAATATTTTAATTATATATAACTTCAATACTTAAAGGGTATTTTATCAATATTTTACACATAAAACACCACATTAACCATATCTTATAACTTCTTTTAGTTTTTTAACTCTCATTTTGGGTATGTAAAACTAAAAAAAATATATTTTTATATTTATATAAATAGTTTTTTTCATAACTTATTTATATATTATATATCATATATAATTAGTTGCATTCAATTTTCATTCTAGTAGTGAAAGTTTTGTAGAGTATATTATCTCAACATTTTCATTGAATAAGAGCGCTTTTTTTTTTTCTTTTCATAAAATACTTTTTAAAATCAAACGAAGAAAATATAAATATCACACGTGTCTTTGTATGACTGACACATCTGAAAATTTTAAAAAATAAAATCAAATATGTACTTAAATATAAAACATAAACTAATATTGTGCACAAAGAAGATATTCATAAACTATAATAATTCATTTTATTTTTCTCATATACAACAACAACAACATACCCAATATATTCGCAATTGGTTGAGGTCTAGGGGGTCAGTTGTACGCATACCTTATCCTTGTAATTATACAAGGAGACCGTTTCCGTAGAGACCCAAAGTGCATTGCGTCGTTCAGTCCCGCTCACCTGCCCACGGTGGGCAGTGCCCACTAGTTTGTTTTATATAAAAAACGTATTCTGAGAATACGTTTTTCAATTAAATTTAATTGAAAAAACGTATTCTCAAAATACGTTTTTCATATAAAACAAACTAGTGGGCACTGCCCACCGTGGGCAGAGGAATATATTTATTGCGTCGTTTGATATATTTTTTTTTCTAGAAACTTCACTAATAGAAGAAGCACTAGAATTTAATTGAGTCATTTTGATCTAGTCCATTATTAGCACTATGCCAGGAGAATTGTCACAATGACTCTTCCAGCTCCATTTGTCTCAGATGCAACTTAAGACAGGCTTATGGAATATTTTGCATGAGATATATTAGAATACAATTGTGAGTTGTCCCACATCGTTACAGAGAAAATATAGACCTGACTTATAAGCCTAGTGGGCTACTTCTCTTACTACCAATTTGTTTTTTTGTGAAACCTCACTTGTGTTTCATCTGAGCTCACTCTGTAGTGCGCTTCACGTGCATGAGACCGCACCCGTTTTCTCCCGTTTCTTACAAGATCCATTTATTATTTGATTTTATTTAGCATAAATCTTATAATACAAATGTCCATAATTTTTCATTATCCAAGTTTGATTTCACTTGACATGTGTATACTACAAATAAGAACAACACAAATGATCAACATTGTTAGAAAGATTGCACCATGAAGCTATCACAAGCCACAGACATTACCAACATGTTTGTTTAGTTTCATTCACTCATGAACATATTTTTTTGTTGTCACATTAGAGCCATCTGTTGAATGTTAACAGGATAACAATCTGAGGTGGAGCCCGAATAAGCTCGTCGTGCTAGGATCTGATTGGCTGCTTCGGTCGGGTGAAAAGCGTCCCAGAATACGTACTGATTTCTGTTCGGGCATGGCAGCGAAAACGGGAGGCATGTTATTTGTCCTCTGTTTCTTCCTATTCCACAACAACCTCTATCTATCACACTAAACCCTGCAAATCATATAATAATCCACAACCTTAACAAACAAGAATCATGTGCTAAAAACTTTTAGTTAACATTTTATACTTCTTACCGTAAATCTTAGGATTGTTAAGTATGTCAACAAATGCTCCAAATGTATTGCCATAAGTGAAAACAGAGCCATTGTTATGCTTGCTATTTAGTTGATCCACGAGAGAAACGAGCCGGTTATTGAACATCTCGACCATATTATTGGTGGAGTCCACACACTTTCCCGGTGGCGGAAGATTGGCGGCTAGTTGGTTGGGGATGCAGCCGAGTGGCCCGATACCTCCTAGAAAAAATTTTCGCAGGCCCAAGCTATGAAGTGCCTACAAAAAGATGTCTATTATTGATCGAGAAGTAGGAGATAATATAGGGTGAAAAGGTGAAATCAAGAATCTTTTCACTTAGATAATTTTGGCGAAAACTATCGAAATTTGAAGGAAATTTTGAACCGACTCACCAGAATTTGTCTCGTGTAGCGATTTATGAGGAGATCGGCATAGTCTTTAGGGGTGTAGATGTAACTGGTGCTATAGAAAGAAGGCTGAAGGTAGTTATTTATGTAGTCATTGCTGCCTAAGGACATTACAACTAATGATTTGGACAAATGAGTGACCAATTCCTCATCTGTCATTTGGTTCCTCAATTGCTTCAAAGTGCTCTCAAAGTTCTCAACTTGTTCAGACAAGCTGAATCTTTCACCCTGTCATCAAATTTTGATAACCCATTTTAATCAAAAAGTTAAAAAAAAATGAAAAAACGAAAAATCGACTACTAGTAAAAATTAATACAAGGCTTCGTCCCGTTTCTTCAAGAATCCCTCCTGCAGCCGAAGCATAGTTCACTCCCCTGAGTACATTTTTGCCGGTCGCTAAAGGACTTGTGTAGGCCAACAGAGCAGGATATCCCAACAATTCCCCTACAAATTGGAAGTGAAGTTCTTGATTAATTTTCATAAGCACTTTTGATAAGTTAAATGATATTATGCAACTTACCAATATAGTCTATAGCAGTTTTTCCATTGCAAAATCTACCGGAAGGCCCTTCGTCGAAATCGACCCCGTAAGGCACGTAATTCGCCTTTGCTAACGAATTCAAGTAATTGTTATTCCCAGGGTCGGTCAACGAGTCGCCAAAAGCGAACATCGCCGTGAACTTTGGTGTCGACTCTGAAGCAACAATCTGTACTCCATTTGGAAAAGCAATAGCAGTTAGAGCCACCATGAAAGGCATCCATTTTATGCATCCAAGTTTGGTCCTTAATATTTTTGCCATTAATGCAGCCAGGCTTAATTTGTTGCTAGAAAGAAGAACTCATTAGTTATATTTGCACAAGTCCCACCTGATTTTTGCTATAATTAGTTTCAGTTACCAGATTTTAGTCATCTTTTGCGGCTTTTTTTGCATGAAAACCACCGCTTTGTTGTCTTTTTGCACATTTTTCAACTGATTTGCAGAAGTCTTGTACACTATCTGGAGGAATACATAACTTTTTAAGCTCTTCATTGTTATGAGACAGCTAACTCGATCGACTCGTATAATTATGTTAAACCTTTTTCGAGTTCATTAATTAATCTTGATTAACAACTTGACCGTATATAATGTTGGGAAATAAGGTCGGATAAGATGGAATAATAATAATACACCAATGTGAAATCAATAAAAGACACGAATATTTGTTAACCCAGTTCGAATTAAATCCTACGTCTGGGGGCGAACCAAGCCAGGAGAATGAACTAGAATAAGAGGATAAACCGAATGTTACAACTCACACAAGCCCGTATGAATACACTCTCTCTACTCT